CACTGCACTCTAGCAGGGGAGACAGAAATGAGACCCTGTTTTGGAAAAAAAAGAAGAAAGAAAGAAAAAAAAGAAAAAGAAATCAAAGGGAGAAAAAAATGCCTTTAAATTTTATTAAAGCCCTGACATATAAGATCTGTGCAGAATAAAAGCCAACAACTGGTCACTCGGTCAATGGTGAGTCTATACCCATGATGACAAAGCAGTTCTGGGGGCCATAGTCCCTGCTGGAGGAGGAGGCACCTAATTGTTCTTTGGGTCAAAGGTCACTGGTCAAATTCCCAACTTTGATTGGCTCCAGCTGGCCCGCAAAATGCTGTTGCAATGAAGCTCCACCCTCAACACAGCCACCCTTGGGTTGGACTAAAGGAAGATCTCAGAGGAGATTGTGGGAGAGAGAGACAGGGGAAGAAGCAGGAGGAAAGGAATGGAAGAAAATGGTGGGCTCTGGGGAGCCATGAGCCTCGCTCGGACTCAAGTCTTTAATTGAATTCCAAGAGTAGATCACTGGCTTCCAAGAGGCAGGTTCTCCAAGTGAAGGATTTCTTGGGAACCTCCGGATGTAATCTGGGATATTCCCTGAGGAGGTAAGGGGCCAGCCTCCTTCCTTTGATGAGCTTCTATATTGTTTGCACTTTTACAAAGAACCTTGCCCTTGCTTAGCCAATGTCAGTGTCCCTGTTCACAGAGAAAGGGAAGGAAATCTTTGTGCAGCACATTGGGAGTGGCCCAAGTTAGTTATGCGCTGGGCCCATGTTGGCTGGAAACACCTGTGATGACTCCGGGCCTCGGTGTTGGCTAGTCCCACCCAAGGGCAGAAGCTGGAGGCTTTTCCTTCTAGGCACCCATAGCCTCTCTGGGTACCAATGACCCCACCTATGGTTGATGCAGGAGGGCGACCTGTGGATGTCTTAGGGCCTTGCAAAGAGGACAGGTATCCACACCGGCAATTCGGATTGAGCTCCTGGGGGCATGAGCAGACACTGTGACCCATGCATTATAAGTAAGCAGCTCGGATGGAAGGGTGTGTTAATTATCTGTTGATGTGTAGAACGTTACCATAAGCATAGTGGCTTAAACCAAGGTAGCGGGATCTACCAGGTCAGGAGTTTGAAATCAGCTCTCGCAAGAGCGAGACCCCGTCTCTACTATAAATAGAAACAAATTAATTGGCCAACTAGATATATATACAAAAAAATTAGCTGGGGCATGGTGGCGCATGCTGTAGTCCCAGCCACTTGGAGGCTTGAGGCAGCAGGATCGCTTGACCCAGGAGTTGGAGGTTGCTGTGAGCTAGGCTGAGCTCACGGCACTCACCTCTAAGCCTGGGCAACAAAGTGAGACTCCGTCTCAAAAAAAAAAAAAAAGTTGCCTAGTATTCTGTGAGCTTATACATCTGTGGGAAGCACAGATAGAGCACACGGGTCTGGAGTCGAGACTCTGGCACGTTCTTCTCATCTTCATAGAAAAAAAGAGGGGCTAAAAATCTTACTGCTGGAATGGCACCCAGTGGCGCCTGTCCTCGCCGGCTCATGCTCCCTGTTCTCTCCCCAGGTACCGCAGCTCCCTGACCACCGCTCCCTGCATGTCCAAGACTGCCTCGCCGCCTCCATCCACTTTCTGAGCGCCTGGAGACCTACGGGTGGACCCCTGCCGGGTCGTGTCTGCGGAGAAGCGCGGGGAGGGCTGGGGCTTCGTCACCCAGGCCCTGGTGGCAGATCAGACCTTCCCAGCATCCGGGCTCAGGTCCTGATTTACCAGTCGTCCAGTTCATCAATCTGCAGCTGCCATCCTTCCAGCAGAAGAGCACGTCCATTCCTGGCCGGACGTTCGTGGTGACCAACATCTGTAAATACCTGTCCATCGACCTCTCCTGGCAGGATGCCATCTTGGATGGGACGTTCATACCCCCGGATGTCTGGAGGAAGTACAGGAAGTGGCTCAGCTCTGACAACATCCCCGAGAGATTCAAGGGCAGAGGCTACCAGCCCAGGTTCCCCGGCCCTTTTAATGAGACTGCCTATCTAGAAGCCAAGTGTATATTGGATGTGGAAAATTCACCCCTTCTCACAGATGACGCGACCATCGCTCAGCTTCCCGAGGCCTTCCTGGTGAGCTGCGAGAACGACATCCTTCGTGATGACACCTTGCTCTATAAGAACGCTTGGAGGACCAGGGAGTCGTGTGACATGGTACACGTGGAGGATGGCTTCCATGCATCCCTTATCTATTTTGGTAAGAAGCCTTTCTCTTTCCCATGCTCCCAGAAAATGTGGATGCTGTAGTCACTACATAAGGGCATATGACACAGTCACGAGAGCAAACAGACAGCCTACAGAATGGGAGAAGATATTCACATGTTCACATCCGATAAAGAGCTGATAACTGGAATCTATATAGAACTCAGGAAAATCAGCAAGAAAAAAATCAAACAGCCCTGTCAAAAGTGGGCAAAGGACATGAACAGAAACTTTTCAAAAGAAGATAGAATAATGGCTAACAAACATATGAAAAAATGCTCAACATCTGTAATCTCAGGGAAATGCAGATCAAAACCACAATGAGATATCACTTATCTCCAGTAAGAATGGCCTTTTATCAAAAAGTCTCAAAACAATAAATATTGGTGTGGATGCAGAGAGATACAAACACTCACAGATGCTGGTGGACTGCAAACTAGTGGCAACCTCTGTGGAAAGCAATAGATACCTCAAAGAGATACAAGTAGAACTACCATTTGACCAGCAATTACTGACCAGCATTCCTGGGCATCTACCCACAAAAGAATAAAAGTTATTCTATAAAAAGACAACTGCACTTGAATGTTTATAGTAGCACAATTCACAATTGCAAAGATGTGGAAACAACCCAAGGCCCATCAAACATGACTGGATTAATCAAATGTGTAATATGTATACCATGGAGTACTATTCAGCTATAAGAAACAATGGCGGCCGAGCACGGTGCCTCACGCCTGTAATCCTAGCACTCTGGAAGCCGAGGCAGGCAGATTGCTCGAGGTCAGGAGTTCGAAACCAGCCTGAGCAAGAGCGAGACCCGTCTCCTACTATAAATAGAAAGAAATTAATTGGCCAACTAATATATTAAAAAATTAAAATAAATAAATAAATAAAATAGAAAACAAGGTGATCTAGCACCTCTTGTACATTCCTGGATAGAGCTGGAACTCATTCTACTAAATGAAGTATCCAAGAGTGAAAAACAAGCACCGCATGTACTCACCAGCAAATTGGTATTAACTGATCAACACTTAAGTGCACACATAGTAATAACATTTATCGGGTGTCGGGCAGGTGGGAGGGAGAGGGAGATGTTGGGTATAATTCCAACACCTATGGGGTCATCATGACACCTCTGGGATGAGGGGTCCTCAGACTTTCTAAACAGGGGGCCAGTTCACTGTCCCTCAGACCATTGAAAGGCCGGACTATAGTTTAAAAAAAGCTATGAACAAATTCCCGTACACACTGCACATATCTTATTTTGAAGTGAAAAAACAAACGTGCAAAAATACCCACATGTGGCCCACGGGCCGTAGTTTGAGGACGCCTGCCTTAAGAGGCAGCTATGAAGAGCAAGGAGGAAGAAGAAAGAGTAAGGGCTTAGGTCCCTTACCCTCCAGCAAAACTAAAACAGCTGCACCTATTTATTTTATACAGTGGGGCTCCTTATATCATTTTAATTGCAAAAAATAATTTTTTTGCTCTCACAAAGTTTGAAAGCCTTATGTCTAAGGTATCATTTTTCCTTGAGTTTCTTCTAAGTTTAATCTTACAATTAAAATATACCTTTTTGATGTTTTGAATGATGGCTTGTAATAACAGAAAAGATGATTAGCCACAAACCTTAACTAAAAATTTAAGACAAAAAATTTTATTTATATAAGCTCTCTAATCCATGCAGTTTAGCCAAACTGTTTGTATTTTTTAAATTCATTCTTTTCTGTTATCCCAAACTGGATTCTTGCATTAGGTAGATTGTGCTTTACTGTTTTTAGAGGTTCATTTTTTAAAGCTCCTTTTCCTTGGTCTTGAATTCCTTGGAGGAGACACGCTACGGGGACCGAACCTCTGGATGTTTTTCACCAGCCGCTGGTCGCTGGGTCTTCCACGGCTTGAGCTGGGTCTGTTTCCCACCTGGCTTCATTTTTCTACACCTTTACCCTCAGAACACCTCCCGGCCCCTTCCTGCCTCCCCTGGCCCTGGAGGAGAAGGCCACTCTTTGAGTCACTGGGGACTCAACTTGCCTTGGTCATTAGATTTTTGATTTTTTTTTAAAAAATCCTGCCTGAAAGAAATTTCCCATTGACTTTCTGACTTATTTTGTTTTCCCCTGCCCCTTTCTCTACTGACAGGCAGTGGGACCAGTAGTAGCTGCATTTGCCTTTTTTTCTGTCATTGCTGGTTGTTTTGCTTCCAGAACCAATGGCTTTAAAGTTGCCTAGTATTCTGGCCGGGCGCGGTGGCTCACGCCTGTAATCCTAGCACTCTGGGAGGCCGAGGGTTAGAGCGGGATTGCTCCAGGTCAGGAGTTTGAAATCAGCTCTCGCAAGAGCGAGACCCCGTCTCTACTATAAATAGAAACAAATTAATTGGCCAACTAAGATATATATACAAAAAAATTAGCTGGGCATGGTGGCGCATGCCTGTAGTCCCAGCCACTTGGGAGGCTGAGGCAGCAGGATCGCTTGAGCCAGGAGTTGGAGGTTGCTGTGAGCTAGGCTGACGCCACGGCACTCACTCTAGCCTGGGCAACAAAGTGAGACTCCGTCTCAAAAAAAAAAAAAAGTTGCCTAGTATTCTGTGGAGCTTATACATCTGTGGGAAGCACAGATAGAGCACACGGGTCTGGAGTCGAGACTCTGGGCACGTTCTTCTCATCTTCATAGAAAAAAAAGAGGGGCTAAAAATCCTTACTGCTGGAATGGCACCCAGGGGCGCCTGTCCTCGCCGGCTCATGCTCCCTGTTCTCTCCCCAGGTACCGCAAGCTCCCTGACCACCGCTCCCCTGCCATGTCCCAAGACTGCCTCGCCGCCTCCATCCACTTTCTGAGGCGCCTGGAGACCTACGGGGTGGACCCCTGCCGGGTCGTGGTCTGCGGAGAAAGCGTCGGGGGAGGGCTGGGGGCCTTCGTCACCCAGGCCCTGGTGGGCAGATCAGACCTTCCCAGCATCCGGGCTCAGGTCCTGATTTACCCAGTCGTCCAGTTCATCAATCTGCAGCTGCCATCCTTCCAGCAGAACGAGCACGTCCCATTCCTGGCCCGGACGTTCGTGGTGACCAACATCTGTAAATACCTGTCCATAGACCTCTCCTGGCAGGATGCCATCTTGGATGGGACGTTCATACCCCCGGATGTCTGGAGGAAGTACAAGAAGTGGCTCAGCTCTGACAACATCCCCGAGAGATTCAAGGGCAGAGGCTACCAGCCCAGGTTCCCCGGCCCTTTTAATGAGACTGCCTATCTAGAAGCCAAGTGTATATTGGATGTGGAAAATTCACCCCTTCTCACAGATGACGCGACCATCGCTCAGCTTCCCGAGGCCTTCCTGGTGAGCTGCGAGAACGACATCCTTCGTGATGACACCTTGCTCTATAAGAAGCGCTTGGAGGACCAGGGAGTCCGTGTGACATGGTACCACGTGGAGGATGGCTTCCATGCATCCCTTATCTTATTTGGTAAGAAGCCTTTCTCTTTCCCATGCTCCCAGAAAATTGTGGATGCTGTAGTCAGCTATATAAAGGGCATATGACACAGTCACGAGAGCAAACAGACAACCTACAGAATGGGAGAAGATATTCACATGTTACACATCCGATAAAGAGCTGATAACTGGAATCTATATAGAACTCAGGAAAATCAGCAAGAAAAAAAATCAAACAGCCCTGTCAAAAGTGGGCAAAGGACATGAACAGAAACTTTTCAAAAGAAGATAGAATAATGGCTAACAAACATATGAAAAAATGCTCAACATCTGTAATCTCAGGGAAATGCAGATCAAAACCACAATGAGATATCACTTATCTCCAGTAAGAATGGCCTTTATCAAAAAGTCTCAAAACAATAAATATTGGTGTGGATGCAGAGAGATACAAACACTCACACGATGCTGGTGGGACTGCAAACTAGTGCAACCTCTGTGGAAAGCAATTAGATACCTCAAAGAGATACAAGTAGAACTACCATTTGACCCAGCAATTACTGATCCAGCATTCCTGGGCATCTACCCAAAAGAATAAAAGTTATTCTATAAAAAAGACAACTGCATTGAATGTTTATAGTAGCACAATTCACAATTGCAAAGATGTGGAAACAACCCAAGTGCCCATCAATACATGACTGGATTAATCAAATGTGGTATATGTATACCATGGAGTACTATTCAGCTATAAGAAACAATGGCGGCCGGACACGGTGGCTCACGCCTGTAATCCTAGCACTCTGGAAGGCAGGCAGATTGCTCGAGGTCAGGAGTTCGAAACCAGCCTGAGCAAGAGCGAGACCCCGTCTCTACTATAAATAGAAAGAAATTAATTGGCCAACTAATATATTAAAAAATTTAAAAATAAATAAATAAATAAAATAGAAACAATGGTGATCTAGCACCTCTTGTACATTCCTGGATAGAGCTGGAACTCATTCTACTAAATGAAGTATTCCAAGAGTGGAAAACCAAGCACCGCATGTACTCACCAGCAAATTGGTATTAACTGATCAACACTTAAGTGCACACATAGTAATAACATTTATCGGGTGTCGGGCAGGTGGGAGGGAGGAGGGAGAGTTGGGTATATTCACACCTAATGGGTCTCATGCACACATCTGGGGGATGGACACACTTGGATCTCTGACTTGTTTACGTAACCTAAACATTTGTATCCCCGTGATATGCTGGAATAAAAAAAAGTTAAAAAAAATAAGAAATATTTTACTTGCTCAAAAAAAAAGGGGGGGGCATATGATAGTAGCCTTGAGTGGGGTGTGTAAGGTGGACTCTGGCACGCTGGGGCTTTGGTGAATTCTATTTTACTGATTAAAGAAATGCTTAATCAATTTGGCTTCGCTGGGAGGATGAGCAGTAAGCTAAGAACAACTTTGCTTATATTCAAGAAAATCCAAACTATGTCTGTTTTCTCCAGTACTAACAATGTCCAATTAAGGATCTAGCAACATTCTCTAACATGCTAACTTGAGTGAAATAAATATCAAAGGGAGTCCAGGCCGCGGTGACTCATTCCTACAATCCTAGCACTCTGGGAGGTCGAGGTGGAAGGATCACTTGAGGTCAGGCGTTCGAGACTGGCCTGAGCAAGAGCGAGACCCATCTCTACTAAAAATGAAAATTAGCTGGTGTGGTGGTGCAATCCTGTAGTCCCAGCTACTCAGGAGGCTGAGGCAGGAGGATTGCTTGAGCCTGGGAGTTTGATGCTGTTAGTGAGCTATGATCACAACACTGCACTCTAGCAGGGGAGACAGAAATGAGACCCTGTTTTGGAAAAAAAAGAAGAAAGAAAGAAAAAAAAGAAAAAGAAATCAAAGGGAGAAAAAAATGCCTTTAAATTTTATTAAAGCCCTGACATATAAGATCTGTGCAGAATAAAAGCCAACAACTGGTCACACGGTCAATGGTGAGTCTACACCCATGATGACAAAGCAGTTCTGGGGGCCATAGTCCCTGCTGGAGGAGGAGGCACCTAATTGTTCTTTGGGTCAAAGGTCACCGGTCAAATTCCCAACTTTGATTGGCTCCAGCTGGCCTGCAAAATGCTGTTGCAATGAAGCTCCACCCTCAACACAGCCACCCTTGGGTTGGACTAAAGGAAGACCTCAGAGGAGATTGTGGGAAAGAGAGACAGGGGAAGAAGCAGGAGGAAAGGAATGGAAGAAAAGGGTGGGCTCTGGGGAGCCATGAGCCTCGCTCGGACTCAAGTCTTTAATTGAATTCCAAGAGTAGATCACTGGCTTCCAAGAGCCAGGTTCTCCAAGTGAGGGATGTCTTGGGAACCTCCGGATATAATCTGGGATATTCCCTGAGGAGGTAAGGGGCCAGCCTCCTTCCTTTGATGAGCTTCTATATTGTTTGCACTTTTACAAAGAACCTTGCCCTTGCTTAGCCAATGTCAGTGTCCCTGCTCACAATTGACATTGTGCAGCACGTTGGGAGTGGCCCGCGTTAGTTATGCGCTGGGCCCATGTTTGCTGGATACACCTGTGATGACTCCGGGCCTCGGTGTTGGCTAGTCCCACCCAAGGGCAGAAGCTGGAGGCTTTTCCTTCTAGGCATCCATAGCCTCTCTGGGTACCAATGACCCCACCTACGGTTGATGCAGGAGGGCGACCTGTGGATGTCTTAGGGCCTTGCAAAGAGGGCAGGTATCCACACCGGCAATTCGGATTGAGCTCCTGGGGGCATGAGCAGACACTGTGACCCATGCATTATAAGTAAGCAGCTCGGATGGAAGGGTGTGTTAATTATCTGTTGATGTGTAGAACGTTACCATAAGCATAGTGGCTTAAAACTATACATTTATTATGTCATGGTTTCTGTGGGTCAGGAGTCTGGACACAGCTTATCTGGGTCCTGGTCCTCAGCTTATCATCTGCTGGGGCTATGATCAAGGCGTTGGGGCTGTGGCCTCATCTGAGGCTCAACTGGGGAAAGATCTACTCCCGAGCTCAGTCAGGTTGTTGCAGAATTCAGTTCCCTGCCGTTACAGATGAGGACTTCTGTTCCTTGCAAGCTGTTGGTCAGAGTCCAACTACGGCTTCTAGAAGCCACCTGTAGTGTCTTGACATGTGACAGATATTTGCTTCCTTCCTTGAAGCCAGTGAGGGAGACACAGACTCCAGCACAGGGGCCACTAGAATCTAATGTCACGTAATCCCAAGCACTTTATCACACGCATGCTACCACCTTTGCCACATGCTGTTAGCTGGAAGCAGGTCGCAGGCCTTGTTCACACAAGGGGCTCACACAAGGGTGTGGACACCAGGAGGTAGAGGTCACGGGGCTGCCTCAGAGTCTGTCCTCACAGAAGGCCTCGGCAGGGGAGCTGTGAACAGTCTACCCATCTCTGCAGCCTGAGAAACACAAGACGGTCTGCAGCCATTGGCTTGGCCTGGTACTAGTGACAGGTGGGAATCCTAGGGGAGTCCTCTCATCTTTCGCTGGTTCTACCTCTCCCTTCTCCCACCCACATCACTCCCATCTCGTCTCCCCAGGGTGGACTAATCCCGACCTTCCTCTAGTCCCTGCCCAGCCTCCTTTTCTGACACACACTCTAGGATCTTGTGTTAGGTAGGGTCCAATCAGGTGAAAGAAACCACACCGACATTCTCCTTTTTTTTTTTCTCTTGAAAGTCTTTATCAGTCTCTAAACACAATCAAATCTTTGTGAGACATTTTCTGCTTCCAGGGATCTAGCTAAAACTTACATCCAGAGGCACTTATGAGAAATTGTGGACACAGAAATCGCTGGATATTGGTTCTGAATTGACACCAATCCTGAGGACTGACCATGCTACTGTGGCTCCCCCATCAAAGCGGGTGCTTACTGTGGCCAGGTGACAGGTGAATCTTGCCTCAAGTCCAGCTCACCTTGGGCCCAGCTGGTCCACAGGAACACGTTGTTGTATCCCTAGTGCCTGAATGCATAACTGAAATAGACATACTTGGAAATGAGCAGAATCCCACACCGGCTCTTTGACCAAAGGGAGGACGGTCACCGTGGTAGGAAGGGCTACGTGGAAGGCCCTGGGCCTTCTCCTTTCTACCATGACAGTGAGCCAGGAGCAGCGCTGCATCCCACAGGGAACCGCAGAGATTCGTGACTCCATGATAGACTTGAAAGAAGCACCTACCACACCCTGATTTAATTCACCAGTCTGGAATGTGCACAAGTCAGATGGATCTTGGAAAACGATTGTGGATGATCCTGAAATCACTCTTGCAAGTGACTGCAGTTGCAGCTGCTCTCCCAGGTGTAGTCTCGTTATCAGAGCAAGTCACCACAGCCCCTGGCACTTGGTCCGCAGCCACTGACCTGGCAGATGCCCTTTTCTTCATACCAATTTGTAAGGAATACTGGAAAGCGTCTGCCTTTGCCTGGCAGGGCCAACAGTACCCCCTTACAGTCTTGCCTCAGGGCTGTGCCAGTTCTGCTTCCTGGCATCATAGAGTTTCCAGAGATCTTACTTGTTCTGACATTCCAGAAAGCATCACGATAATCCACTGTGCTGATGGGATCATGCTCATGGGATCTGGGAAGCAGGAAGTAGCATGTAGCTTAGAAAGACAGGCCAGCACAGTGGCTCACGCCTGTAATCCTAGCACTCTGGGAGGCCGAGGAGGGCGGATTGCTCAAGGTCAGGAGTTCGAAACCAGCCTGAGCAAGAGTGAGATCTCGTCTCTACTAAAAATAGAAAGAAATTAATTGGCCAACTAGAGATATATAGAAAAAATTAGCTTGGCATGGTGGTGCATACCTGTAGACCCAGCTACTTGGGAGACTGAGGCAGTAGAATCTCTTGAGCCCAGGAGTTTGAGGTTGCTGTGAGCTAGGCTGACGCCACAGCACTCTAGCCCGGGCAACAGAGTGAGACTCTGTCTCAAAAAAAAGAAAAGAAAGACATATGCAAAGTGAAAGAAACCCCAAACATGGGCTGTATCAGTTGTGGAAAAGAGAAGAAAAAGAAAAAAAGAAAGAAATATAATATATATATAAAGAGAAACTCCCAAACAATTGAGGGACAGCCACCCCAGTGAAGTTTCTGGTGGGTGGATGATGTGGAGAATGGTGAGCTGTCTTCTCCAAGGTGAAAGACAAGT